TTAAAAAGTAAAAGGGGATTATTAATAGGTTGAGACTTAAATAGCACCCTGAAGCTTATCAATAAACATTCTACAGGCAACTGTGAATAGTGTCAGCAGCCAGAGATGGTACAACATATTATATCACTGTAGCAGAAAATAAATTGTCTGAGCATCAGTGAACTACTGGTAACAATGGCAGGAGGAGCAGCTGTGGTAGATTTCTTAGGAAGGGCAGGATTAATTGATAGAATATAAAAGAAGGTGCAGCTTGATCCATTCTCCACCATAGGAGGTGCGTAAGTATTGGGTAGCTGTGCTTCCGTTTGACCCGTAGGTGTCGCTGTGGTGTGTACCTACTACTGCACAATGGCAGTCTTAAAAAGAGTCGAGGTAAAGCATAAGCACACAGCACTCGACTAAAATGTCTGACAAATGATTGCCAACATATATTGTCAGATATATTAGATTTTTTTTAAATAAGAGATTTGTAATATATTTTGTTCTGCATAAAATATTTTATGATATATTGAAGTACATATACTTAAAATATTGCTTTATTTCTTAATAAATCCTCAGAAATCTGTTAGTGCCCTATGGTCTTCATTCAGTGTGCATCAAATCTTCAGTTGAGCAACTATATTTACATCCATACACAATCACACTCACTCCTAGGGGCAACTTTCACCAATCAACCTAAGCTGCATGTTTCTGGACTGTGGGAGGAAGCCTGAGTACCCGGAGAGAACCCATGCAGGCACAGGGAGAACATGCAAACTATACAGAAGTATTGTCACCATAGTACTTAATCCACATAAAAATGGCCCCTGCGACTGATGTATTAATAAATAGTGTCAGCATCCACTTTTATCTTCCAGCTACTAGGTATAAAGTTCAGTAGTTTGATCCAGTGGGTCCCAACCTAGGGGTTAGGGCCCTACTAAAAGCCACAAGATAAATCAGAGCAAGATGATTAATGGGAGAGGGGGGAAAGACATGCTCAAAATGTCATTTTTTTTAAAACTCCTCACTAATATTTGCTTTTTTTTTAAGTCAAGTACTGGAGTTTTACCTGTTGAGGCCTTAAAATGTTATTTAACTGAAATTATGTGAGAGGTTTGGAGGAGAAGTGCTGGCAAATTTAAGAGCTTTCGGTTAGATGCTGCGGTTTGTAAAGGGTTACAAGCCAAAAAAGGTCTGAAAACACAGGTTTGATCTTTAACAGTGCTGCATATTATGTTTATTATAGGTTTTATGTTAAATCTTGTGGTGTTGCTCAATGTCCCTGACACAGTCATTGCTGATTTGAAGGTCCCTTGACATGTTGCTTGAACAACGTAAAACTTTAAAGACCTGTTGGGACACACGTGTTGTCAGCATTGCTTTCTGCCCCTTGAACCTTTGTGCCTTTTGAAAGCACATGGTTGGAGTGAAAGACGGTGCCACTATGGGAGTGAAGCCGAGTGAAGGGAGCATGCTCTGGTTAATAATTAATGGTTGTCCCTGCCAAGGAATGAATCAATTTCAGCACATAGAAAACCACAGTACTGTAGTTTTAAAATAAGCATCACTTTTTAATGGTTACAAAAACAGTTTTGTTTAAAATGCAAACAATATTTTTTTTCATCATTTGTTCATCATTATACTGAAAAATCAATTTGGTTTGCTGAGGTGTTGAATATGTTTGTATAAAAATATTTTTTTTTACATGATGTGTATGTTGACATAGAAAGAGCCTGTAGACATTTTCTGAGAGAAAAGACAGTTTTCACAGACAAAGAGTGAACAATGAAAACCACTTGAAAGCCAAATACAGTGATATCCAGAGGAACTTTGACAGTACTAGCTTCACCTAACAGGAAGCACATGTTTGCAAATGTGTTCCCTTTAAGGAAAGAGTTTGACATTTTGGGACTTTTTTTCTGAGTCAGATGAAAAGATTAATACCACTTTGATATCTGTATGCTAAACATGACAGCTAGCAGCCAGTTAGCTTACCTTAGCATAAAGACTTTTTCTTGCTTAGTTTTTGTACAAATTAAACAAACAGGATATAGCATGTTAACTAAAACACTTTACATATGCTGGTAGGTGGCTTCTGTTACATTTGGACAGAGCCAAGCTGATCCTTTGTTTTCAGTTGCTTTTTTAAGATAAACCAATTAGCTGCCAGCAGTAGCTTAGTGTTTAGCATCATCTAACTCAACAAGAAATTGAATATGTGTATTTCCCATAATATCAAACTACAGTACATGCATATGGAATATGAATCACAGGTTCTAGTCTTCTCTCTTTC